AGCAGGTCCATTGTCCTTTACTATATAACCTCTGATTTAGATTCAACTCTAGTAAAGTAATTAATAAAGAACAGTCTGTGTGTTCTGTGAGAGGAGAAGAAAAAACGTAACCAACCAACCAATCAATAAACCCGTCATCTCAAACTGTAAAGTGTATTGTTGGGGGTACAGAGTACTAACTGAAACCTGCCTAAATGAATGTATCGACATTTTGTCAATCTTTCACTTCTCTGCTCATTATAACATCAATATACGGTTTAGATTTCGCCATCTTTTCTTTATTTTGAGCACGAGTATATTTCAGCTCCTTTCAAGCACCTTTTGCATGAGAAAAACGAGCAGCAGATGAAAAGCAGGGTCCTCGGGAGGAGCTGCGCCTGGCATCTTTTGGCAGAAATCTTCTGAAAGTTAAGAACAGCTCGAGCTCCCAGGCGAACGCCCATGATATGACCTGCATTTTTTTGTGACAGCTAATAAAGAGCAGGGAGACGGGGTGCGCTACAGAGGGAGGTCACGATAGGAAGCTGAATACAAATGGAAGTGGAAGGTTCAGTATTTAAGCACACCGGCTGAGTTGTTTCCTCTATGTGGGGGTTTAATTGAAGCACTGCTTAAAAATAATGGCAGATTGTCATAATGGAAGAACACTGTGCTCTGAGTAAAATGTGGCTCAGGGAGACCTTTTTCCATAATAAAATAGAATGATTAAAGTGCAGCCATTATCAACCTATTTCTATTATACAGCTTCCTAAAACCTGCATTGATTAGACCCCAATTAAGCTTTTGATATCCACCCACACCACAGCAGTATAACTGTCATATGTTACTTTGAACACTTTTGGCATCGTCACAGTACGTCTACAACGTCAGTTGCTCTTAAAACCCAAAGACGCTGAACCAAACCAGAGAAAATGAGCTACTGCAGCATCACGCACTTGTGCAAAATCTAAGAGGAAATAATGATGAGAGCTCAGAGAACTGAACCAAGGTTATACAGTGCAAGCTCAGTCTGACTGCATCCCATAAACGTCATAAACACTTTCCTCGTTTCCTTCCATTTTCCTCCCCAGTGACATGGGTGGGAAAATATAATTGCTCTGCATTAATATTTTATCGGGTGGCCACAAGTTAGTAATGCATTAGGAGAAGATAAGTGAGTCTTGGCTAGACATGCTAGACAGTAGCAACTGACAAAGAGATGCACATGTCTGACTATCAAATATAATACAGCTAAGACTGTGTGGTTGATGCTGAGTGAAGTACTTCTGCTTTTATCTCCACGTCCTTAATTTAGTACTTGTAAAAAATAAATAACTAAATAACAATAATAATTTGCACATATCGGAAATTTCTGGGGGTGACCATGAGTGCTTGGAAAAACTTGGCAGATCTACGAATCCATGCTAACAACAGCTCACAGGGAAATGAAATCATTATCCAGTTTCCCAGTTTTGGTCCAATCTAGGCTTTTTAGGAGGTTCTATACAGTCTAACAACATGTGTTATTATATACGCATAACATTTACTTCACAATGAGTTAAAGCAAAAAACTGCTTATTGCCTTTTAATGAGGCTCAGGAAACTCACAAGTAAATGGTGACTACAAGATGTAGAATATGTTATTTACTGACCGCGCTAAACATTACAAGCCTATTTTTTACACATCGGGCAGCAATAAATGTGAAACATGTTGTGAGGTGGAATCGACAGCTTTGTTCATAAATACAGTTTTGTTTACTCTGAAAGTCTGTGCCTAGGGACTGAAGGCTAAAATATATGTCAGACTAAAGCTTTATGGAGATTAGCACATTAGCGATAAGGTGAATGGTGCAATCGTCTGGCAACAAGCGTGGCAAACATTGCGGGATATTATGATGCATCGCAAAAATAAGACAAATCCAAATCAAATGCATCTATGCTTCATGCATGGAGCTCGTCCAGTGTGCAGTAAACAACAGATTCAGTGTCATGTAGCCACAATTGAGTTATCATGTGCCCACACCTTACCAGCTTGTGGCCATGAGTTATTGATCTTTTCCCACCTATGTTGCCATGGGGGCTCTGTAATTTGCAGCCCTGTGTTGTTACAGTGTACAACTGGATTGTAAACACGAAGCCTCAGAGGAACTATGGGACTAACATCACTTTGCAGCTGCATCCTCTGTTATTTTCTTATAATGAGAGAGGCATTGTGTTTTCCTGGATTTCAAAATATAAAGGTCCTAGGTGTGCAGACTATAGCTGAATATAAATTGCATCCATCAAGCACACAAAGTTAAAAAGTGGCCCCCGCTCCAGGCAATTTCTTATATTAAGGAGATGAAATGTCTGATGCAGACTATACAAATGAAGTACCTCAATATGTGTCTAGTCGTATTAGAGTCCCTGAGGATTCAGTGTGATCGACCACAGCACAGAATAACAGCATAAAGTAACAAATCAAGCACCGACTGAATGCCGACACATGCCACTGTCTCTTCTAATTTTCAGACTGAGTTTAAATTGCCACTAAGGCAATCAAAGACAAAAACTATCTATTAAAATAATTAGATTATTTGGGAATCTTGCGACGAACTCACTTTAATATCTCTATTTTGGTCATAGGACGTCTGAAAGAAAGCAAAATATAAAGACAGATGAAGATATAAACGCATT